GAGAATGAGATTAAATAACCTACACAATCATGTCTCCTGTGCATATCTCAGAGGCTTTGGTAAAACTCACTGAAATACTGGGAAATTATTTCCCTATCAGAAATAATAAAAAGCAGATAAAAATTCTGATCATCAAGTTTATAAGCAGTAGCTAAAAAGTGAATTGTATGTTTTCCACAATCKTGAAATATAATAGACTTGAAATGTGTTTCTATATTGTACTGCATGCTTCCACAAACAATCTTTTTCTCACAAAATTTCTTTTGCTGTTTCCTAAACTAAGTCTTAAAAAAGGAATATTAGGTTTTTGTTTAGTTGGTTGGTTTTTTTTTTCTAAGATTGAGCTATATGGCTTTCAGAGACCAAGTGCTATTCTGAGATGCACTACCATGCCCTCAGTTTCAGTAGGGTTGCTTCATTTTGCCTGAGAACAATTTGATAAGATCAAGCTGTGTGCTCTCATTTTCTTCCTTGTGATGGAGGAACAGAACCGTAACATTAGTCAGCAGTTTCTGAATTTTGACCCACAATGGCAAAGATACCAAAAGACAGGAGAAATAGATGGAGGCAATTACAAACAGTCACTTGATTGATGGTTGACATTGTTAGGGCTTCAGCTGTGTGTCAGGCTGTGGTGGTGCCGAATCCCCATCCCTGCCAGTGGGTGTTGCCATGGGCAACAGTGCACYGAAGCCAATAAAAAGGAGAGGAAATGAGGAGAGACTCAACCTTCAGGGAGGCTGTAGGGTATGCATTATAAATTATGTTATACTTAGCAATATGCAATATCAAAATTCAGGAAAGCCATGTGTACCTGCCAGCAGCATTGTCGGTTCCTAGTATCTGTTTTTCCCATATAGTATGTGTTGTAGGTTTGTATGTCTTGCTGCTTACTAAACTGCATCTGGCTTTATTCAGAGAAGAAAGAAATGGTAAAAGAAGAGCAGAAACATTTCCATTTGGTGCATGTACTCACTGCAGTGCAGTCTGCATTTCTGCTCCTTCCCTGCTTCCTTCTGCTRGAGAGTGATGTGGTTCAGTTGTGCACTAACAGACTGGCTTGCARTGCTACCGATTTTCCAGCTATTGTCCTGCACACCATTAAAAACACAGAGAGTTTTTGTTTTATTATGTCTCTTTTAAAGAAGTGATCAGCAGATTTGTTGTTTCTGTTTGATTGTCAGACAGATGTAGTCAGCTTTTCTAAGGGTCTMACAACTCAGTTTCCTTAGAAAGGAGAAAAGCTCTTTTACCATCTGGTCAGCTGGGCCAGGTTCTGATTTCCATTAAGTCAGTGCCAGTTCAAGGTAATTGCACTGAAGTAAATGGAGTTTGGCACAGGTGTAAAACTAAGCTGAATTCAGCTTTAATTTCTGCTGCCAGACAACACTATATTTAGAATCTCATTTTTCATGGAGTACAAAGGCTTTTTTCTTCCCCCTGCGAATGGGCACTCGTAAGCACTGCAACATGACTCCTCTTGTGTTCAGTCATGCAGCASAGAAAGCACCCTGAAATCACAGATCACAGGTTTGCTACATTAGTGATCTTGGCACTAAGGAAAGGAGACCAAGTTTCAGGTCATCACACAGAGACATATTGGTTTTATGACCTATTATATTTGATTAGATTTTTAGGGACATCTTTGTCACAGATGTTGACATGTGAGCTTTGACTAGTGCTGTGCTACCTGTAATAATAGCATCTGAAATTGTACTGAAAGAACTGCAAGWGAGTAAGAGGTAGTCAGTATAGTGCTTCTTCTCTACCATTTTAAAATACTAATTTCCACTGGAAATTATACTAGAAAGGTTTATCCATGGTCTGCTTTTCAATGTAACATAAACCTGAAGCACAAAGCAACAGATTTCCTTTTTTATTTGTATTCCGTTTTCATAAAAACCCTTTAATCTTTTCCTTAGGTGACACTATAATCTAAAAAAAAAGGAATGTGTTACAAGAGCATTTTTTAAAAGGAAAAAAACCAAAACCCCACTCTAAAATTACCATGCAATATTTTGCCTTTATGCAAACTTCCTCTTGCTGAGAAATTTGCTGCACTGTTAATATGAATTTCTCAGGGAAGAAGGGACAGCTTGGTGTTTTTAAAGATAATAAAGTTTGTTTTTAAATGTAGCAAAGGTAGGCAATTCTAAAGGCCCTGATCAATCACTAAGAAGCTTTGTTGTAAAAAAATACTTCTTCAGAATACAAAGCAGGCTTTTCAGAACATTCAGGCATAAAAGAGGAGGGAGAGTAAGAGAGGAACATCACAAAAGCAGGCATAATTGATTCATAACATGTACTGAAGAGATGCAAAACAACAATGTAATTACACACTATTCTGTTTTCTGCAGCTCCGTGCATATGAATTGGCCAGCTTGCATCCCAGTCCTGCTCKGTATTATTGATTTTATTAAGCGTTCTTATATTTCAGTCTGTTGTCAGCTTTACAGATTTTTACAGCAGCAGTTGAAATGTAGGGGAGCTGAATGAACACTTCTTCTTTTCAGTCTTCTGTGTTGCTCCAGATATCAGTGCAATCCCACTGCAGGCCTTCCATTCAGTCCCACTAAGCCTTCCAGGAAAAGCAAATTATGCTGCCATCAAGATAATATCCAATCAATTACGTATATCTGTGAAGCATTTCTTAAAAAATGGTGGGTCTAAGCTTATGAAAACTCTTCAGACAGCTCTTACTGTAAAGCGACACTGATGTTTGCAGGSTTAATTTATGTCTTTGAGAGACATGGTGAAGCTAGAAGAAAAGGAGGACAAGGATGCTGCCTGAGAAGGAAGTCTTTTTTGGTGCAGCTCCTCCCATTTACCTCTATTTACTGCCACGGAGTCCAGCATAGGCTTCAGTTTCACATTCAGCTTCACTAGACACTGAAAGAAGATTAAAAAGAGGATGAGAGAAAAATTACAGACAGTGTATCCACTCCTTTGATGGACAGTCCATGGCATAACAGAGGAAAAAAAGTATAATCTGCACTATGCCCCTACTCTCCTCACTCCCAGCTGCAAATACCTGTGAAAGTAAAGCTTATTGTTCCTATTGAGATCTCACTCATTTTACGTGAGGCTTTAAGTCACCAAAAATGTAAAAAACCCCACATAAGATAGCCGAGTTACCACTCAACTGCTTTGGCTTTCTTGTAATGCTTAAAGATAGTCCTTTTGAGGGATCCCCAAGTGCCTGAGGCTACCAGCTATGGCATGTACAAGCAGAAGTCCAGTGGCTGGATGGCAAGTTGGACAAAGCTGAAATAATCTCTCTAGTGCTAGATTATTTTTTTCCTGTATATGACTAGACCACAACAGTACTGTGCTTTTCCAAGCTGGCAGAAAAACTAATTTGTGTGCGCTCAAAATAAAGAAATAAAAACGAATTTTCTTTGAGATTGCTCTGAAATCACCTCTTCTTTACATACCCAGACCGAAGCTCACAGAGGCCAGTAAGAATCTTTTATCTGGTTTCATCTGGCTTTGGATCCATCCCCAGGTTATGCAATTCCTGCATATCATTGCTACAAGTTTATTTTACCTTCCCCTTTAATATCAACTGCTTATGTAAAAAGATCCCAAGTGCTTAATTTGGTTTTGTATGTACATTAAAGAGAGAGAAGACCACATTAACAGCAGCACTGGATGTCAGGGAAGGGTTAACCAGTTACCTCCCAAGTGGTTATGTACTGTGTCCTTTCAGGACAGAGGAGTATTCTTTTKCAGCTTTTCTGATTAGCAAGCAGTGGCTTTTGCTGAGAGCTAGGCAGCATGCCTTCTTTGATAACATGGAAACTATGTATTTGTCTATGGAAAGAAAGGGTCGGTGCCAGATTAAAAAACAAAAAAGACAAAGAAGACAGCAAAAGTTGTTCTTCTAAAAGTGCAGAAAATTATAAGAAAGGAAGGGGAAGGTAGGCACAGTTGCAGTGATCAGTTTTTGCTTTAAATAGCAGGGTTAACAGCAACTGCTTTAAATGGTCCCCAGAGCCAAGAACTAGATTTTTTTATAGCTAGTTTGCAAGCCATAGGAGCTTGGCTTGAAGTAATTCTTGGTAGATTTTTAATTGAGCTATTATATGATAATTAAGGGTTAATGGCCTGATTTTAAGATGTGCTGAAAACTTGCAATTTCAGTTTACTTCAGTAGGAAATATGAATGCTCAGCACTTATGAAAAATCACACCATGAGGAAGATGCTAGAACTTGAAGCAAACCCACTTGAAATTATTTCCTTAGAATATGGCACAGAGTGGGCAGATAATTTTTGAGTTTTGGGCCTTCGGTAAGAAGCAGGATTCACTGCAGTCTCTGCCCCATAGAGCACTGCTTGGTCCTCATGATCATTCATTTTATAGAATGGATAAGGATTTTTAATATTACTATCACAAKGCCTCAGAACTCTCCCTTTTTATGTCTTTAGTTCAGACCATTTGTGTTCTTTAAACCAGATTTGGCMGAGTCTAAAACAGAGGGGCAGTAATACTGAAAATATCTGAAAAGCTCACTGCCAATACCAGTAGCACCTGTATTACCACTGCCAGCTCTGTGTCCAGAGGCAGCACATGAGACACAGCCTTTGGCAGCAACTTATCAGATCCTTTGTGTGCACAGCCAGTATCTTCAAAAAGTTTTTGTTCAACGTTTTTCCAATATACACTTTAGACTTTAAAAAAATCTCTATAAAATCTATATGTATATAATCTATATCACAAACACCCTAGTGGTTAAATCACTGTTCAAAAATCAGTGTGTTTCAAATCTCTCTAAGGACAAAGATATTCTGCACTCACATCCTCTCAGCACCAGGATCTGTGAGCACTAAATGCAAAATAGGCTGTTCCTGTCATAAATGCTATGGAACCAATTCCAGCWACAGGCAATGGAGCTCACTGGGACTGTGGACTCTGTCTCAGTGTGGCTGTGCAGCTCTTGGCTATGTCTGTGTCCTTTCTGTGACCTTGCTTTTTTTGCCAAGACTGACCACAAGACCGTGATGCTTTCCAGCCTAGCGCCAGGGAGCAATTGCAGAGGACTGGGCATGACCTCCTGCTGTGCCTGTCCCTCCAGGCCTCAGCATATGCCATGGCTTATGGAGACAGCCCTGTCACATACTGTCACAGCCAGGAGGGCTGTGAGTGCTCGAGGCCCTTGCATCAATTAGCTTTGCATTGACTACAGCAGAGACCAGGAGCCCGAGTAGGCTGGGAATAGGTTCAGGAGGCACCCCCACAGTTCCACTGTTATCTGATGAGCTGTAAATGTCTTTTAAATCTGTTAGTAAATACACCTGTATGTCTTCGAAATACAGATCTAAGCAGACATTAGAGTCTAATAACCCAGGTGTGACAGAGGGTACCAGGTAAATAACAAGAATAGTTAACTACTAACATTAACTTTGATGAAATAAATTATAASGAGTATTTAAGAAAGAATAAACCATGTCTTTGATATTTTTACCATAGCACCAGCAATTAAGTCAGTGGAGTATGGAGTATGTACAAAATATATAGTGTAATTTAAAGAAACTTTATTTTGTTACACATTAATTTAGATTAGTGATACTTGACAGTGCAGATTTTGTACTTGGTCTACAAAATGTCTTTATTCAGACATTGATTTGATGTTTGAACCAYTACTTGTATATTTAGCATTCTTTCACTTTGGGACTTTTTCATTCTGATCTAGTCTTTTAATTAAACTGACTACATAATTCCTATAGAAATTAGCTTTTATTTTTTCCAGCTACCAAAGCATTTCAGTGCAGCTTCTCTGATACAAAGTGCACAAATTGGATTTTATTTCTTCTTGAGATGTAATTAAAAACTCATTTGATTACTATATATCTGCCCCTCTTTTAATTATTAAACTCCAGTAATCAATTTGCTTTTATGAAGCTTCTGGGAAATTATCTGAAAAGCAACACATTTCTCTCCCTTCTGGCAGGGTCTGKACCATTTACTGAATTACATCCATAGCACCTGTTCCTGATCCGGATTAAACCACAAATTTATTCCCAAAGCTATTTAAGTTTATTTGGCTGTTGCCTTGTCAGGGTTTTCCACCTCCTGACTGCAGTTTTTGCTTTCCATTTTATTGCACGCAAAGCCCTTGATGTACTGCTCTTCCATGCCACTATTTTTGATGCATGTCCCTTACAAACAGCTTTGCTAGTGATCTGTCTAATTTGGTATCTAGGTTCTTAATGCCTTATTTATTGCCTTCCTAGAAAAAGGACTTGTCTTCACCAGCTGTCTGACATGGAATACCACCACATAAAATGAGTAGCTCCAGAAATGCCCTTTTCCTCATCCCTCCTTGGTGCAGCAGGCAGGCTGGGAGCTGGCAGGCAGCTGGGCTTGGGCGTAGAGGGAMCCCCTGCCTGGGGCAGTTCCTGTCTCCTGAGGCCTGGGACCTCACTGCCCACTTGCAGTCTTTCTACTGCAATGCAGCTGCATTGCTACACAGCAATAGGTACAGGATTGGTGATGTTTCCCATTTTATCCCCTTTACTGTAAAAGCTGTTCTTAGTCACAAAGTGATAAAGTGTGGCGGAGGCACTGCCTGCTCCAGCTTTAGGAAAAGCCAGAGAGGTTTGCAGTTCCCTTCTACATCCCTGTATTGCCTTAGACGTGTGACTAAGCTGTTTGTCTTTTGTTAMTGTATAGCAGTGACTTTTTCTTAGCACCTTCAACTATTTAGATGTCTTTTGAGACTATGTATTACTCTGCCCACAGCATTCTTTCCCAAGGTGTAGCTCTGCTTACATATAAGCTTCTACAGCACAAGAAAAGGTTAAAGGCACTTCAGCACTTACTGTGTGCACCTGAGAGAAGGGCAGGGCTGCTTGAAGGAAACAGCTCAAAATGGGGAAGAGCATAAGATACTCAKAGGAAGCTATTTATGAGGGAAGGTAAGGAGAGCAGACTGGTTTGTTTTKGGGGTTTTTTCTTTCCTTTTGTATAGAGATATATATTTTGGTAGATAAAGCATAGAGAATGCAGAAACAGTTGCAGTAGAAACAAACCCCTTCAGGGAAAGGCTGATGGGTAGCAGTGGAGGCACTTGTGCCTCTGGGTACCAACCTCCTGGGTTGAAGTGGGGTGGGGGGGGGGGGGGGGGGGGGGAGAAGGCTTCATCTGCTATATCACCTTTATCTCTGGGGAAGGACATGAGCTGAAACTGCCAAGATGCAGCACAGATGAGGTCAGAGGCTCAACTGTTGCTAAAACAAAGAAAAAATTTTGGTGTATTCTAAGATTAGTACCAAATCTCTTTAAAGAGGAGCACAATATGTCCTAATTTAGAAACACTGCAGGACTTTCAGTATATATACTTTTCTTTTTTTCCCCTCCCTGCCAGAGATCCTCATCCAAATATTGACCAATTCTGACCTTGCTTAACTTACAAGCTTTGACAAGATTACAGCTCATGAAAGTATGGTTGCGAGGCTAATATTTGTAAAGTGAGTTTATGGAATAAGACCATATAAATTCATTTTTATGACTGAGCACATATAAAAAAGTTATAGGTCTCAATGTTCACTCTACTTTGGAACCCAGTGGTTTCTAATGAATCACTTTTATTATGTAGGCATTTTCTTAGTTGGAAGGGAGGACCAGTGACCGAGAAGCCACAGGGATAAATTCAGACTCAGTGTAAGCATATGAAGCATTGTTGAAGTCAAGAGAGTCATGACCAGTTACAGCAAAGCTGAATTGGACTCCTGAGTTTTGCTGAAGTGGCTTTCACATGAGAATACATAGGCAAAAGGTGAGCCATCTATCTGAAAGTCCTTGAACTTCAGATTAGTTCAAATGAAAGGGAACCTGTGCTGCAGTCATCCACAGATTTTATCTTCATAATACAAATACTTAATGGAA